GAAAATAATATGTTTCCTATTATAATAAGCAGATAACTAAACGCACCTCTAGAATCGAGAGTTGGGGGGGGTCATGTGACTCATCTCAACCAACTCCTTATTCAATGCAAGAATCCAAATTTAGTCTTTCATGACAGATAGATATTCATATTTTCTTGAACACAACCAGTGAAGTGGAGCTCACTATCTCCGATTCCATGGCCAGATTACCCTTAAAGAGCTTAAAGAACCATGGTGCCGCAGTGGTTAGAATGCAGTACTGCAGGCTAACTAACTACTTACTCCAGGAGTTCGATTCTGACTGACTCAAGGTTGACTCAGCCTTCCATTCTTCTGAAGTCAGTAAAATGAAGACCCAGATTATTGGGGGCAATATGCTGACTCTGTAAACCACTGAGAGAGGGCTGTAAAGCACCGTGAAGCAGTATATAAGTCTAAGTGCTATTGCTGTTGCTAACTGCTTTTGTTTACATCTTCACTGTAGCATTTACAGCAGGGCTAGCTCTTAGCTGACCTTGGTTGATCTAAGAAACTTAGAATGGTTGGGTCTGGTTAATGGCTGGATAAAAAATCCCAATGGTGCGGTGAGAAAAAGCAATGATAAACCATTTCTATATTGTTAACAATCCTACAAATGATGTTTCTCTCACCAAATACCAAACTTTACTATAATAGTACTACTGTACTATTCATACCTAATGAAATTAAGGATTTTCATTGATCTGTTTCAGTATTTTTAACATTATAAAATAAATAATTTAATTAGCTTAAAGTACCTAGGAATAGACCCAGATGTGTTCTGGATATTTTGAACTAGCACTCCCACAGTTCTTTGGCATTGGCCTTGATGATGGGGAACAGGTCAGAGTTATCTGGAGGATATCAGATACCTTCTTTACACAATACTGTAACCAGTAACTATATTAATTAGCCATTTGGTTAAAATACTCACTTGTCTGTTATACTTATATTTTTACATTTACAGTGTTGTCTCTTACATCCTTCTCCAATCTGGAGCCTTCTAGAGGTTATGGGAATGCAACTCCCAGAATTCACAATTAACACAGTAGAGGTTGATCAAAGGGGCTGAAAATTCTAGGAGTCCAGAAGGCTCTCCAAATATATTTCTTGTTTTGCTTAAATTAAAATAAATTATCTATCTTGTTTCAGTTTGAGGTGCATCCTTACTATAATCTCACAGTAAAAATCTTGAGAGCCAGAAACATCCATGGCCTAGATATATGTAAGTAATCTATTTAAATTGGTTGTGGATCACCGTTGTTCAAGATATAAATGTTAATTATGCTTCACAGCACACCAATTCATTATCTAGTTGGTATCAACTAGATCATAATCTAAAGTATGATGCTTGAAACTGGTCATTTGTATCTCAAGTGAGAATTTGAATTGATTTGTGTGATGACTCATTTGTTTGCTTTAGCATCTCAATAGTATTAAGACACGCTGGTTCTAATTTTCTTAGGCACCATGGCATTTAATAATTTGTTTTCCTCTTGACCTTCTCCTGTACATATCTCTGAGGAGAAGACTCTCAGTCTAGCAAACCTAGTTACTGGAAAATATGTTTGTGGAATTTTTAGGAAATACATTTTTTGAAGATGCAAGGCAGAGGTATAAAGGATAGTTGCTGTATTCTTGGAGAAAACAACGGCCCATTAGGCATTCGTACAAGCACATGGCATGCTTCCAAACAAAAGTCTCTGGACTTTTGAAAAAAAAAGGCACTTAATTATGCAGAAAGGAGAAAGGCTGAAATGGTGAGAAATGGAATAAATACATGAGGAAAGTCCAACACCTCCCCTGCCTAGAAATTATTATACAAACTAATTATGGCATGAAAATTTCAACCGTTATTTTTACAGCAGAATCACTTATATTCAACAGGTGGTAGGAAGTTTCTCCATTGTGTTAACAATACTTGCTCAGAAATAAATATTAAGGTATTAGTTGTATTGTAGTTTAGGATTTTGGCCTTGATCTCTCTTCATATCTACTAAGCTGAAAGAGGCTACAAAATGCTGTTGACAGATGAAGAAAAATAGCTTTTTTAGGCTTTTTCTATCCTTGCATTTTTTTCCTGATTACTATAGTGTCTAAATCAGATTGTTATGTGGCCTTGAAACTTCCTACGGCATCTCCATTGATAAAAAGAACTCCGGTTGTCTATAACAGCAGTGATCCTGAATGGAATGAAACTTTCCAATACCGAATCCATAGTGCTGTAAAGGTAAGCTTGTTCTTTACCATTCCCATTATTGATATCAGCTCAGAGGAGCAAAGCTTTGTCACACAAAGTCTACTCAGCTATATCATATGACAAAAATGTGGCAGGACTCTTTTTTTTCCAAACTCTTCAAACTCTGCTACAAAGCTATGATGAACAAGATAACCAGCTGAGATTTTCACTTCTGCATAACATTCTGAATGAAAATACAGAAAGCATAGCCGAAATATTGGATAATATTTAGATTAGAACTAATTCACAAACACTTTTGTTTTAATGACTGATTTGATCACCGGTGTTTAGGGAAATGATAAACTTTCACTGCCCAGTCCATCAAATTTGCCCATGATCACTAACCCAGCTGGATGTATCTTTTGAATAGCTTTCTGTCAGATTATCAGTTATGTGCAGTGGTAGTTGGTCACTATGTGATAATCATGCTCCTCTTCCTTTCACCACTAATAAGGATGAAAGTTTGATATTAATCGAAGGTGTACTTAAAATCATTTTTCTTCAGTTGGAGAAGAATTTTGATGCATTTAGGTCCATGTGTAGGTAAATGTATAGCAAACTGAAAGACAAATGAGCTGATGAACCACCAGCTCTGTCTGCCAGTGTCAAAAATGACTAATTGCTAAGTTGAAAGAGTTCAATATACAATGAAACAGCTATGAATAAATGTTACCAGGTGCCTAAACTCATCAAATGTTTCATAGCATATGATTTGGCTCTGTCACTCTTTTACTTTTAAGCAAATAGACTCTTTTTCTGAAAGGCAGATATTGCAAAAGAAAGGCTTTAAAAAGAGTGAAAAAGTATGATGTGTAGGCAGTGGTGGGATTCAGATATGTGAACAACCGGTTCTCTGTGTGGATCCCGCTTCCGGAAGTCCATTCTGGGCCTGGGCAACAAAAAAATTAGCTACCAGTTCTACCGAACTGGTGCGAACTGGCTGAATCCCACCACTGTGTGTAGGAAAAGGTATCTTTACTGGGAAAATCTCCGTAGCTTGCATGTGTTTGAAGTGTGATAACAACAACACTAACAGAGCCTGTAAGCAAGGAGCACCATAGACAATGGTTTAAACATGAATACATGGGAAAACATTTGTTACTTGTTAAAATAGACTCTCATTTGCACTTTGCAGAATATTCTGGAGTTATCATTCTACAACAGAGGCATTTTGCTGAGCAGTCTCAACAGTTATGATACTTCCGTTGCTTTTGACTTAGGTAATATTGCCCCAGGACAGGATCTGACACATACATTTGTGCTAAATTCTGAGGTGAGGTGTTCTTTTATATAGGTATTTAGCCTTCTCATTTGGTAACGATTTGAGTTTTGTTTTAACTTGATCTTAAAATACTAGAGAGTCTGGTAACCAGGTAATGTCTTCTAAAGCAAAGGTCCCCAACCTTTTGGGCACCGGGGACCGGTTACGTGGAGAGAGGTTTTTCCATGGACCGGAGGAGGCGTGGTTTTGTGTGCTGCCTGCATCCTGTAGATGGGGCTTTCCTTGTTTGTGCGGACCGGTTGCTGGCATGCCACGACCTGATACTGGTCCACAGACCGGGGGTTGGGGACCTCTGTTCTCAGATATTGATATTTCTATAGTACAGACTTTCCATATACTCCTTCCATATTTCTTCTTGAAATCAGTTACTATCTGTCTGTTGTCATTCTTAATATGTTAATTTGAGGTTAGGACCTCCTTCTGAGTGAGGTTAAATAAAAAAGGGTAGTAATGCTACATTTTTCAGATTCCCAGGATCTATGCTTTTATAGATCACAACATGGTAACCCATTTTATACCTACATCACTATAATGAAACATCATTCTAAATAGCTGAACTCTTATTTGTGAGCCAGACAAGTTTAATTTGTAATATAATCAGCTTCAACCTGGTGTTCTTGAGGAGCGTTGGATCACTTTTTTCACTTATTGCAACTTCTGGAAAAACACTCAATATTTTCAATAGAAGTTGATGTGATTTTTCTTTTTTTGTTTTAAAATAAGCTATATGAATCAGTCACAAGATGCTAATTAAGTAGTGTAGTGTATGACAGCACAAGAAATTAAGTTGTAAACAACTGCATTGGTAGAATAAATACCTATTTATTTGCTTTAGTTAACACTTATATAGACAGAACTATAGTAAAAACTCATTAAGGAAGCTGTCATGGTTCTGACAGATGAAACTCTTCAAAAGAACTTCAAGGCATTGTTTACCTTAAAGAGTCTTTTATTCGAGAAACAAAGTATCGGCACTACATAGTTAAAGCCAAAAACTGAATTTCCCTCCCCTGGCACAAAGTAGCAAAGCACAATTCTCTCCTCCAATTAACAGTCATAAATCACATTCTCCAATTAGCTTGAAGCACGGGCTTTCTCCCCAGCTCTCCAGCCCACCAAATCTTTATCAACTCTGAGCACAATAACCTTGGATTCCCACGGCTGAGTTATTATTGTTATTACTAGCTGGACTCTCATCCACATTCCCCCTCCCAGCATCAACTACCTCTAAAAGCAAAAGAGGAAAATGGCTGCATTTCCATTTGTTATCAAAGCAAGAATATTCAATGTTAGCAGCGTTGACAGAAGCAGAGACATGTATCACCCTTTGTGTAGCTGTGAATATCTTGGGGCCGACTTGACACTCTTTTAACTTAACTTTTGTCTCACCCTTCAAGGAGAAAAGAGCAGAACTGGATGTTGAATTTTCATTGGAAAAATGGTGAGGTGTTTCCTTTCCTCCATCATGATATAATAATATGCAAACATAATTCTTTAATTCATGTTCCATTTAAACCTAAGCTATTATTGGAGCACTGCAATTATTTGTCAGCTCTTCATGGTAGCTAGATTGAGAAATAGACATTACAGGAATTTCATGAATGTTTTTTTTTGTAAAGTTTATTAACAGAATCTTGAAAACCAATCCAAAGCCTTTCTAATGTAATGCCCTTTATTCCGGCTATTTTTATATTTTGGGACTAATTTTCTTCTAGAACTGCAATTTTTACAGTTTATGTGTCTATGGAATGTTATTATTTTCATTGTCCTGTTTTTTTGATTTATATAATCAGAAAATTAAGCAAGTATTTTTATTTCAACAGCAAGCATCCTTCCTGTAGGGTCATTACTAATGGAGTTCTTGTGGTGAGTAAAGGGAATAATAATGGTTATTGAGACTCTTAATAGATAAAATGATTTTTAAATATATTTTTCACCATAAAAATAAAAGAATAATTAACGCATTTGCATAGCTATTTCCCCCCAATTGGATTTTTTTGTTTTTTGTTTTTTTCATGTAGGCACAACCTTGTCTGTGTATTAAAGGAACTATCAATAAAAGTAAGATGGCCCCATGGATGATAAAGGGTAGGTCCTTTGTTAACCACAGATCTTGGAAAGAAGCAATGCCAAGTTCCCCTGTCTCATAAACCCAGTGTTAATATGAGTGAAATAAATATGGTTAATCAAGTACACATTTTTCACATATACTAATCCCTGAAGGTACAGATATAAGGTACAGATACACTCTGATATTGCACAAGAATTATTACAGAAAATTTTATCTGTAGAAAGTCAACTAATAAGCTGTGTCTTTGCTCCAGGGACCATACCCAATGGAAAACAAACCTGCATGACTTAAACTAGTCTTCTTTTCTTAGGGCTCCTAGATCTGGGTGGCAAAAATTTGTTTCTTTGCTGTTATGTTGCTGGGAGTTTTGCTGCCCTGTTCTGGATTTTTTACTTTGTTGTTTGTGCCACAATGTTTCCCAGGCTGGCGTTCTTAGCTATAATTCCGAAAATCCTAAACTAAATTCCCAAAGAGTGTCTTTAGCCAGGAACTTTGTTTCTTCAGAACAGACTCTACAGATTGTGTTTGATGGGCTGCTGCTCTTGTTTTTTCTCCCAGTTCTTTGACTTCTGATTTTGTGATTTATTTCATATTATACTAATCAGCTAAAGTCTCTGCTGCCTTATAGTTTTGAAAGGGAAAGTATTTGCTTACTGTAACAGGGTACAATTTGTTTAGAATTGTTTCTGGTGATACAGTACAATTTTTCAAGATAGATACTGTAGATTTTATTTAAAAGTGTTGAAAATAGGCCCATGTATGGGGAAAAATAATAGTCTGGATTTTCTTAATATTCTGCTTTTGCTTAGTATTGTTCAATTCTTATGTTCAGGTTATTTCAATAAGGAATTATTTCTTCAGCAGAAAATGTATTTGTTTGCTAGAACTTAAATGCCTGTCCAGTCCCCAAAGGAAGTCAAAGAACTGACTCTTGTTATAACCAATCAAAGCAACATAACAACAAAGCAATAATTTATTAAACTTGCATTACATTGTAAAAACAATACCTTTGGCACTTGAGGAACACTCATTATTTACACACACACACACACACACAGACACCCCCCCACACCCACCACCACACCCACCCCACACCCACCACCACCACCACCTCCTCTATCACCAGACAAGATGGTTGACTTATAAACATTCTGTTTCCAAGTTTCTGTGGAAACCCATGTTTTTATGTCTACGGAGATTCTCAGTCATCCAGGTTACGGTTGCCCCAAAGGTGCTTTTTCAAGAGGCAACTGGACTTTCTTGTTTCGCTTTGAAGATGTTTCGCTTCTCATCCGAGCAGTCAAAGCTGAAGAAGCTTATTGGATGAAAAGCGAAATGTCTTCAAAGAAAAATAAGAAAATCCAGTTGCCTCCTGAAAAAGCACCTTTGGGACAACCATGTTTTTATGGTGTTCCTAAAAGCCAGTTGGTTTAAACGCTTCTTTTCACTTTTAGACAATTGCCAAATTAACTTATCAGTACCAGGGTCCTTTGAAAATCAGTTAACAACGTTCTGTGGAGTAAATTTAGAAGAAAACCAGGAGGAGATTCCATTTATCTTTCATGTGAACAAAGAAGTGTCTTCTCACCTGAACCTGAAATTGTTACAAACCATAGCAATACTAGAGGTAAGATGGTGCATTTGCTTGCTAGAGCCTCAGTTATTAGAGCAAGCATCCCCATTTCAACAGATAGGCATATATAATGGCTACATAATAATTAAACATAAATTTGATACAGATTCATAAGGGGAAAATAAGTAAATTGATGAGCAGTGGCTTTTAAAAGATATCTATTAACTTTGCCTTAAACATGCAATTTTATTTCACTGAGTCCTGAAAATATTTTTAAATGAACCCATAATAAAATTAAGCGCTGTAACCTCATAACTGAGCACTAGTTATCATTATTTTTCAGTGGTCCCTGATCCACCTAGAATAATTTTAAAGAAACCAAAAAATCTCCTGCATCTGTAAAAATTTGGGATGGGCAGTAGAAGCAGTAGCTCATGAGAAGAACCAGTGCTTGTGTTCTAGGCATCCCAGGCATTTTGTTGCTGACATTGACCTTCTGATAAAGTTTGCATTCTCATTTTCCTCTATTTGGATGGACTTCCTGCTGGCATGTATGTAGCTTTGTATAATATGATTTACAGCAATTGTGCTTGGTTCCTAGGAAGGATGGAGTGAGGATTTAGAGGTGAAGACTTCAATGGTTGGGAATGCAATTATTCCAGTCTCCGAACTCCCTCTTGAAAAGGAAGTTGAACTGACTGTACCTCTAGGAAGGGTAAATATTTAAGTCTTTGTGTCAAAGTGATAGGCATGATATAAAAGCTGGTGCTGACTCTGTACTGTACAATGTTGCTGGGGAAAGGACTTTTTTATATTACATATTCTCAGACTTCAGCATCTCAGAGAGAGGACATTCCTCCATTATATTTCACCTCATTCCAGTAAACAAACTTTGGTTCTTTTACTTAGCATTCTATTCATTTTATATTGATATCTTTGTAATATGTGCAATCAAACTTTTATTCAAGATGTCTGTATATATTTTCTCTTTCTGTCCATTTCCCCCCTTCTATTCAATTGTATCTGATTCTCAGAGACCACCTGGATAAGTCCCCAAAGACTTCTTCACAAGGTTTTACAGGAATGGCTTGCTATTGCCTCCTTCCCAGGGTTGAAAGAAAGTGATTGGTCCAAAGTCACCTAGTTGGCTTTATGTCTCAGGTGGGACTAGAACTCACCATCTCCTGGCTTCTAGCCCGATACCTTAACCACCACGCCAAACTGGGTCTCTATTTTTTCTTATTATTGCATATTTTTATGATTGTCTTACTTTATTAATTGGTAATTAATTGATAACAAACTTTAATTTTTATTTTTGTTCTATCTCCTTTTTCTCTCTCTACGCAGCTTGGAATTCCATATTATTTTTATCACTAGGTTTTTTTTATCATATTTTTTATAATTTTGGCCAATTCGAAGCAGTAAACATATTCCTGCCTCTTGCTTTCCCCACAACAATAAGGTGAATTGGGCTGAGAGACAAGAGTGTGACTGGCCCAAGGTCACCCAGTTGGCTTTCATGCCTCAGGCAGAGCTAGAATTCAATCTCTTGGATAGTACTGTGCTTTAACCACTACAACAAACTGGCTCTCTATTATGGTGATGTGTGATTTTCTCTGCAATTTTTTTTATAAAGCTAGCATGGAAAAATATATCTCCAAGACTATGGAAGCTACCATATAGATAATTGCTTCATACCACCTCCTGGCTCCTTAGCATTATTTTTTTCTTTGCTGAGGTATGACACCATGGTGTTGTATACTTTTTTTACTTATTTGATTAAAATAAACAGAGTTATTTATTTTTACTCTTAATAATTCCTCTACAACTTGAGGCCCAAATGATCCTGGTGATAGAAAAATTTCTAGTTGCTTATTTCTATGTGCCTCTATTATATTGGCCAGCTCTTGACCCCGGAATGGTGGTAAATGAGTGATTTGTACCAATGATTGTATTATGAGATGTTAAAGAGTCAAAGTGTTGTCTATGTGAAAGTCTATAGACCCTTTTAGCAAACAATGTAAAGAAAATGCTTCCTGTTTTAACAAATACATTAGTATGAAGGTTTGGATCATAACAGAGTTAGAAAAAGAGCAAGAGAGTTTTCTTAATACCAAAATAAAGTTAAACATTATATTTTGCATTAGTAAATTTAGTAGAATTCTACTTCTTCCAGGATCACGTTTTGGATCTGACTTTGAAAGTTGAAGAAAGGTGTGTACAACAAACAATATCTATGAAAATCAAGATTCACTATTATACATAAGATCAAGTACAAATTAAAATATCTGTGTTGAAGAAAGGGATACCAGGGTTGTAAGTTAGAGTGGGAAATTGAAAAAAAATATTCCAGAAGAAGGCTGTGGTTAAACATTTCCAAGAAAGCCACACGGATGTATTCATGAAGACACCAGGAGTGAGTTTGACCTGAAGATTTTATATTACCTTAATTTACATTATGTTTAAATAATGGGATAAGCTGACTTTCAGTATTATGGATTTAAGGAAAAAATATGCTTCTGCTGGTTAAAACAAAGAATAATGATGTGCAGTTGATTTTTCACTATATACTGAAGTCAATTAAATGGAAGGGTAGAATCTGGATATTTTTATTCTTTTTTTTCCTCCTTTCTAGGAACCATCCCATTGATATGGATGTACGTATTGGCTTTAAACTTTCTAAGGGAGAGCAAGAATTTTTGGCAAGGAGAAAGACTATTGTTTCTCGTGCTTTAAAGAAGGTATTGAAACTGCGGGTGCCACCCTGGAAAGAAGAGGTACAAAACCCATTTGTCTGAAATGGTATAGGGTTTCCTGCCTGGGCAGGGGGTTGGAGTACTGGTAGATGACCTCCAAGTTCCCTTCCAACATTATTATTATTATTATTATTATTATTATTATTATTATTATTATTATTATTATTATTGTTGTTGTTGTTGTTGTTGTTGTTGTTGTTACTATTATTATTATTATTATTATTATTATTATTATTATTATTGCTTAGTTTTATTCCCTATGATGCAGTTCTTGTTCAGGGGTCAACAAAGCTTTCTTTTTATCTTCTTTAGGGGTAAAGTTTAAACTTGAGGAACTGAGAAAATGTTCAATTTTGAAAAAAAACAAGCCTGATGTCAATTCCAATTAGCTAGAATTGACATCCTCAGGCAATGTTTGTCAACTTTAAAATGTGTTGATTCCAAAACCGAGGATTCCTCAGGCAGCACTGGGAGCAATGGGAGCACAAAGAGAAACTGAATCCCTCCTTGACTAGTTAAATTAGCTGAGCCCAAGAAATCCGAGCTAAATTCACAGTTATTTTAACAATGCAAATTTTATTTTTAAGGAAGAAAATGCCGTGGAACAAATGCTTTCTTCTTGTTCTCATTTTATTGTTCCTGTTTTTCCCCTGTAAGATAACGTTATAAAAGATACATCCAGGTAGTCCTTGACTTATCACAATGGGGACTGGTACTTCCATTGCTAAGCCATATGGTCATTAAGTGAGTCACATCTGATTTTATGAATTTTTTACCACGATTGTTAAACAAATCACCTAGGGGTTTCCCTCATTGCCTGATGCACAATACCCATGTGATTTGCTTCTCAGAAGCCCCCTGGTAGGATCACAAATGGCAATCACATAATCCCGAGACACTGCAGCTGTCATTTATTTATTTATGCCTATCTCATACCCATAAATACATATTAGTTGCCAAGTGCCCAAAGTTTGCTCATGTCATCAAGAGGATGTTACAACAGTAGACAGACTGCAAGAACCAGGCATAAGTCTCTTTTTTCAGCACTGTCGTAACTTTGAATGGCTGTTAAATGAATGGTTGTAAATCAAAGACTACCTGTAAATGTATCATCTAAAGAAAAAAAAAGAGAGAAAGGGCCACTTCTCTCTGTCTTAAGAACACCTCTTCATTTCTCTAGGTTCCTATAGTGGCTGTATTAGCTTCTGGAGGAGGGATGAGAGCAATGACCAGTTGTTTTGGCAGCCTGTCTGGTCTACAACAGCTGGGCCTCTTAGATATCCTCACATATTTTAGTGGCATTTCGGGGTCTACGTGGTATGTAACCCAAAATCTCTATCCCTTCCAACCTGGGTTAAATGTGTGTTTAGATAAGATTTGCTATCATAATTTGATGTTGACATCTTCATGGTTACAATAAGAAGAGATGACCTTAATTCCTGACCTTAATTCCTGTCACTTAGTAATTGGCTCAACCCCAGGCCACCCCAATGATGCCCTTGACGTGATGGCCCGGTGTCTGGAGGCCGTACGGGTCTGGATGGGGAGAAACAGACTCAGGCTCAACCCTTCCAAGACGGAGTGGCTGTGGTTGCCGGCTCCCAGGTATGGTCAGCTGACTCCATCGCTGACTATAGGGGGAGAAACTTTGGCCCCCTCAGAGAGGGTGCGCAATTTGGGGGTCCTCCTGGATCCACGGCTGACACTGGACGACCAGTTGACGGCTGTGGCCAGGGGGGCGTTTTACCGGGTACGCCTGGTGCACCAGTTGCGGCCTTTTCTGGACCGGGATGCCTTGCGCACAGTCACCCATGCTCTTGTCACCTCCCGCCTGGACTACT